TGAAGAATATCTGTCAATATTTCAGCAGTAGATTCCAAGGCTTCCACTGTGATGTCTTCTGCATTACTTGTAATTTCTACTACTTCATTGCTAACTTCCACAACATTATCCATTGTAACGTTCATCTACGGAAAGAATAATTGATATACTAAATACTAAAAAAAACATGCAGAAACGAACAGGGTTAACGTTAGACATTAAGTCATGTTTGTATTGATTAATGCCATTAGGAAAAATGTCCGACAAAACCGTAGCTCAAAATTTTAATTTGCCCCATCATTCTATTGTTTTCCCTAATGTCATTAACCAACACAAACATGACATAAGGAAAAACGTCCTTGAAAAATCCGTAGCCCAACATCTTAATTTACCCTATCATTCTATTTTTTTTCCTAATGTCATTAACCAACACAAAGTTATGGCAGTTATTTGAATCTGCTCAACCATGAAGCCCCTGTGGTCTAATGGTTATGACGCTCGCCTTGACAGCGAGAGATCGCAGGTGCGAATCCCGTCAGAGGCATTTTAGTACACATTGTATTTATTTACAGGATAACATTCGTTGAGAGCTATGCTACACGATGTACCATATATTAATTATTATATGGCATATGTATGTGTGTATATTATATGGCATATGTATGTGTGTATCATGGCATATGTATGTGTATATTATATGGCATATGTGTGTGTGTATATTATATGGTATATGTGTGTGTGTATATTATATGGTATATGTGTGTGTGTATATTATATGGTATATGTATGTGTGTATATTATATGGTATATGTATGTGTGTACATTATATGGTATATGTATGTGTGTATATTATATGGTATATGTATAGGTATGTGTGTATATTATATGGTATATGTATTTGTGTATAATATATGGTATATGTATGTGTGTATATTACATGGATATTACTTCTGATGAGCACCATATTTGAGGGTATTTTTTGCATTAGGCGCTTTATAGTATTATTATTATTATTTATTATTATTGTCATTGTGTGAAAGTTTGAGGTTAATCCGTCCAGTAGTTTTTGAGTTATGCTCCCAGAAGTACAACACACACCACAGCAGACAGACGGAGGGAGCTCATTGCAATACCCTCTTCCCCCTTCAGGGGTAGGGGGAATAATAATAATAATAACAATAATAATAATAATAATAATAATAATAATAATAATAATAATGATAATAATAATAATAATAATAAAAATAAATAAATAAATAAATAACAAGAGTGAGATTCGAACCTCATACAGTCAATTAATTTTACAGATAATACATGCTTTACTGCTCAGCTGCACTCCACCTGATACGAATGTATAGTTAGTAATATTAAACCCCTATAATACAACAACCACCAGCGGATCGATCGAATAAACTATATAGGCCTAGGTACATACTATATTATAGGTACATACATGGCGCAACAGGGCGAGGGTTTGTAATTTTAGATTCTCTTGTTACTGTTACTATGATACATTCTGTAATCCATTGATATGTTGCAATCTATAAAATTTGACCATCACCATATTTAGACGTTCTAACATATCTTCGGCTGTAGCATCAGGCCCACATTCTTCCATTTCAGGATCTTCCCATACAGCTGCACTTAATCCATCGCCTTTACACGTTCGGTTAGCACGAGGCATGAGATCTGATTGCACAAACATAGACATGATTTATATAATTAGAATGGTAGAAACATCATACTGTTAATATTGAAAAAGTTCAAACATGTTCATCTAACGTATATACTAGTGAACAGGCAATAAAATTAATCTAAATAAGTTTGAAAATTGATTACAAAGGTAGCTGCTAGAGTACAGCAAAGCCATAATAAAGGGACACCTTCGGGATCAAAAATTGTCGCCTTAATAGAGATGTCCCATGAATAAAGGTACCCCTTTTTAGAGGAAACTAACCGAAAACGTGAAATTGTCCACTTCATTTTTGTCACACAATAATGCAACTTGAAAACCATGTCTCATTGACCTAAGAATGTTTTAATCACAGTTTTTGTAGTTGTTAAGTCGCTTCTAAATGTAAGGCCTAAAAATTTTTTCAGCAGAAATGACACCTCAACTTCCAAAGAAGCCTCTGAATCCTTTTGATGCCTCCCTCAATCTACACGTTGGGCGAGTCAACTGCCTGCTCTCGCCTTTTTTGTTAGTTTGTAATATTTGAAATTTATGTTCTCTTAGACATATATTGAGTTGATATTATTTGATCATCATTTTTGTCCTTAATTCTTTCACTTTTTGGAAAGGATATTGGGCAGGCAAACGTTGATTTGCAGATATAGCTAAACTACACTTTTCGTGAACAAATCAGTTATTAGTTTATTTTTTAAAAATTTACAAAAATAAATGTTTTTATGCTTACAATTCACTTTACTCTCACCACACAAGTCTTCGGAATTTACAGTCTCTCCAACGTTTGCATCAGGAAATGTGAGGTTATCGTAAACTGTTCTATAACACATTTCTATTGTAAAATATTTCAAAAACAGAACAGGCTGCAGATGTTATCATGGTTTGAGCATTGGATAAGCCATTTGTTATGTCCTTGGGTAACACTTTCTACGTTTGTCTCTCTGCATACAGATATATAAGATACGACAAGTTATACTTTTACTTATTGTCTTGAGCACAAACACTGATAAATATGATAATTGGTATATTAATATCAATGTAGGCCTACTGTATATGCAGTCTGTGGTAAGCTAGTAAATTCATATCATTTAATGATTGGGAGTTTCTTTATTTTTTGGAAAACTAATTAGCTTTACATCAGAAGGCCAACATTTTTTAGCCACAGAATAAAGAATAGGTTTTATATTCTTTGTCTAATAATCAATTTAAGCATTTTTGTAGAAGCGGTTGGCGCATCTTTTGTGGCTTCAACTCCCAACCTTGATGTTAGGTGTTCGAAACTCTCGCCATGCAAGTTGTTTGTGTTCTTGGGCAAGGCAACCTATGGATGCCTCTCTCCACCCAGAAGTACAAGTGGGTACCTGGTAGGTTCGAACACAAACAACCGCAACATTATGGAATTCTCTCAAAGGACATGGGTATGTGTCCCATATGTGCTTAATCCGATGATCAGGGGTAATAATGCTAAGCGCATAGAGACATCTACAATAATACTGTAAAACCTCGAATTTAAGCCCTGGGCTTCTTTTTTTTTTTTGAAAACTTTGGATGGGCTTCTTTTCGAGACTACTTTTGCAAAATAAAGAGGGGGGCTTTTTTTCAAAATGAATGCTGTAATTTTGTGAATTTGTATTATAAAACAATAAATAAGGCCACAGTAACATCAGTCTATATCATGGAGTGTATTTAACTGGCATTAAATCAAGTAAACTACTTACACCAAGCTTGTATATAATTTATTTTGTTTTCTGAAATTCACGTACAGTGTATGTACTGTACTATATCGAAAAGAAGCCTATGCTATCTTTAAATGAAGCCCATGTGTTTCTTTTTCAAGTCTAATTTTGCAAATTTTGCTAATTTTGGGGGGGGGGGACTTCAATTCGAGATGGGCTTCATCTCGAGATTTAGCCCACTGGGCTTCAATTCGAGGTTTTACGGTATGCGATGTGTAAGTCAAAACTTATTATTATTGTTAAAAATATTTTAAATAGCCAACACTGAATTATATTGATCTAGCCTATATCTCATTGAACATTTGTTTTCTTTAATAAAGCAATTTAATATAGATTTTAACACTCAATATACATTTTTAATAAAAGAGTAAATACATTAAATGTACCTGTGCTGCTGATAACGAGGCTATCTGAGATCAGATATCCATTAGAATTATTTCCGATTCTGATGAGTTCCTGTTTTAAAATTTCCAAAAATTCATCATATGACGTATTTGTATTTAACACGTAGAAATTGGCATCAACAACTATACTACCAGGGGAGAAGCTGAGTATGTGTATCCTTACATCTTCATTTAATGACAAACGCTCGCTCAACTGAAAGGCAATTAAAATATTGCTTATTGTTTGTTTGTTTATTGTTTGTTTCTGTGATTTTCCACACACATCGAATCATATACAGTTGTACATTCAATATAGACAAATTACATATTAATTTTATTTAATTATTTCGAATAAGTAAAAACACAACGAGGCATTTATTAAATGCCTCGTGGTGTTTTTCCTTATTCAAAATTTTAATGGCATTATTCATCACGTTTGTAATTATAATAATTTAGATAGAACACAACAGTGCTCAATTGTAATTATTGCAATTGAGCACTATTGCGTTCATACAGTTTTTTGATGTGTATTTTAAATGTAGCCATATTAGTAATTAATTTTAAATTAGTTGGAAGAGCATTCCAGTCATTGGTAGCCGAAACGAAAAAGGTTGAATGAGACTGATTATTTCCTTTAAGCAGAGGTACAACCAAATTGACTTTATGTTGACGAGTGTTATGTGTATGAATTTCAGAAACTCGCGTAAATTGCTCAGAAAGATATGGAGCAGCCTTATTATTAAGAATCTTATGGAAATTACAAAGTCTTAGAAATTTAACTCGATCTTCAACCTTAAGTAGACCAAGGCTGGACAGCTCTTTGTGACCTACATGTGTCCGTGGTCCTAAATCAAGGATAAACCGAATCATTTTATTTTGGGTGACTTGAAGTTTTTGTTTTAAACCTTTATCAATACCTTCATACCATGAAGAAGCACAATAATAAAAAATGCATTGAATAAGGGCCATAGATAACAACTTTCTAGTATTTTTGTCAAGACACCTTGCTTGACGGTAAAGAAACCATAGTCTTGCATTTGCCTTCTTGATAACACTCTTGGCAATATTATTACCAGAGGCTGAATTATCGAGTTCAACATTAAGATATTTGACAGACTGGGAACCTTTTAATGTAAGGCCACCAGTAGTGACTTCAAATGATTTTATACGTTTAACTTTTTTTTTACTACCAAAAATTATTGACTCCGTTTTACTGAGGTTTATAGATAATTTGTTGTCAATAAGCCAAATTCTACATGAATTAAGAGCGTTACCAAGTCTATCGGCAATGACATTTGGATCTTTGTGCCAAAATACAATGGCACTATCATCAGCATATAAGAGTAATTAACATTCAGGGTTAATACTGACTATCAATATCATTTACAAAGTATAAAAAAAAGCAAGGGACCCAAAATGCTACCTTGGGGCACCCCGCATGTGATATCCATAGGCTCAGATAATGAATCTTCAACTTTAACAACCTGGGTCCTATTCGTCAGATATAAACGAAACCAGTCTAAGGAGGTAACGCCCATTAGAGCAAGTTTCTCACATAATATCTCGTGATCAACAGTATCAAATGCTTTACATAAATCAATTAGGACCATACCAGTATGTATGCCTTTGGAATTATTAAATTTAATCGTATCCGTTAAATTAATTAAGGTACTTTCAGTTGAATAAGTTTGTCGAAAACCTGACTGATATTGATAAATGAGATTATTGTTAATTGTTTACAAGGTATTGTTCTAACTGAATATGAACAGATTTTTCAAGAATTTTAGAAACAATATTTAGAATGCTTATGGGCCTATAATTTTCTGGGTTTTTACGGCATTTCTTTTTATACAATGGGGTGCATTCTTAGCATTTTTTAAGTCACTCGGAACATATCCCGTAGTGATGGACAGATTTGTAATATAAGTAATAGGAGAAGCCAATACATGGGCACCATCTTTAAAAAATCTTGCCGGTAACCCATTAAGACCGGTACTTTTAGTAGGGTCCAGGTTTTCTAACTGTTTCAGAATGAATTCCTCTGTAACAGGTTCAAGAGTAAATGAACTTAAAACTTTGGAAGAATAAAAATCTTTGATAACTTTAGAAGCATAGCTATATATATGTCTCATAGGGGGCAGCTTGTCAACAAGGTGATTGGCCATATTAGTAAAGTAAGTATTGAAACATCTAGCTACATCTTTTGAGTTGTGAATTTTTTATTCATTCATTTCAAGAACAATTTTAGATCTTTCATTTGCTTTTTTTACTGTACCCTAGTTTTTTAAGATTTTGCCATAATTTCTTTGGATTATTCTTATTTTCAACAATCTTATTCCTAAAATACGTTGATTTAGCTTTTTTTTACATCACTCTTAACTTTGTTTCACAATTTACAATACATATTATGGTCATCTTTATTTTTATTTTTAGACTTCTTAAATTTTTCAAGATATTTATCACGTGTTCGTATGTCATTTAAAATATCGGCGTTAAGCCATGGATCTGACCTCTGCTTTACTCTAACCTTCCGTAGGGGGGGGGGGCTATTGAGTTTATAACAGAGCTAAGAGTATCCTTAAATATTGACCAAGCTTCTTCTGCATTTTCATTAGAAATCACAATTGACCAGTCGATTGTAG